ATACAGACAGGATGCCAGGTGCATGAAAAACAGCTTGTACATAATAAGTTTGGAACAGTTTCCTGTTAACCTACACGCAGGAGGAACTACTTTGCTTCGACTCAAGGTACTCACGCTGGTGAGTACAAAAATGGCTGTCTTCTGGATTGTAGCACCACAAGTTTACCAATGTCACTCATCGCCCTGATGACAAAGGCAGCAAGGACCTCTAAATCACCAGTAAACTTCAACCAGACTACATGGCACTACGATCAAGACACCATCTTTATACTTTGGTACAGTCATGCTGATGAAAAAGAACAAAGCACTGGGAAAACAACAAAAACACTTTGAATTTAAAATTTTTCAGTTTTTCTACAGGATAAATCAATTTTTTCTTAGGACTTCATGTGTCAAGGTTAACAAAACAGGATATTCTTCTCGGGCTACCAGCCCTGTCAGGTGGTTTAATGGAGAAAACACCAATGTTTTGAGAACCGTCTTTGTCCTCATCTTCGGGTACAAGGACAATGATGGTCCTCGAAACACTGGTGTTTTCTCCGTTAAACCACCTGACAGGGCTGGTAGCCCGAGAAGAATTCATTATAATTACTTGCCGTGAAGAAAACTGTTCAGCTCGGTTTCATGTTAAACGACAATTATTTCATGCGATTCTGTGCATGATCTCCAATTTGAAATGACGTTTTTCAATGAAACCATAGTTTTCAGTTTTGTGAAACTGATTTCATACAACTAGTTTCCTCTATGCATGACCTGCCTAAGTATATATTATATGTATATTTATCTTAAATTTAAGTCATATTTAAATATATCTCACTAAGCACAATTTGTCTTTGTATCGGTCAAAATTTGTTGTATCACAAACGGTGAACTGAAAGTTGCAGTCAGTTCATTCACTTTGTGTCACATTATATTATTAAAATATGTAGGTTAAATATATAGGCTGCGTATATACGAATAAGGGAAAAATTATGCTTTTAGAGGTTGTAAAGAAAGCTGAATATTTAATAAACATCAATTCACTGTCATCTCTAAACTAAACAAGTAATTCATCCTTTTTTGAACACTATACTAGTATGTCACCAACTGAACTGTTAGAGTGGCAATGGTTGGGATTGAACCTGGGACATTTTGAATACTTGGCTAACATGTTTACCCCAACTGGGGAACTCCTTTGCCATTTATAAAGGCTATTGGCTGTGATAACGTCACACAGAATGCATACAGGTCTTCATGTAATGTGCCTGGTATTGTTTGCTAATTTCGATTTTTCGTAAACTCCCAAAAATAAAATTTGATAAAAATACTTCCGGCTGTTATCGAGTTGTCACGTGTACTGACGGATGGCTGGATGAAGAGACTTTAATAGGCAATTCGTAGGAATGTGAACATGCCTAATTAAATCACAGATTTTGAAAGGGACGTTGTCCTCAGAAACTAACCACAGTACAACAGAAACGTAAAAAGTCTAAGATGTAAATAAGATGTCACTTTAATTTCAATAATCGCAATATTTTCATAGTATATAAGTACAAATCAGTGGCAACAGCAACAAAGCAGACGCACATTTTCTTGAACCACAACGTGCTGGTCTCGGCCTGTCCGTCAAATGATCGCCATCCAAGTCGCCACAGAAACGGGTAGCAGAATTTACCGTACCATGTCAGACGATATTTTCGCATTGGCAATTGTATAACATGTTTGAAAATGTTAAAGAATTACTTGATATCAGAACTGACCAAAAGGGATATGTTGGAATCAGTACCATTTCAGCAAAATGGTGCATAGTCCATTTAAAGTCGGTAGCGCGTAATTTTCAGAATGACGTATTTCCTGGCCAATGGATCGGTAGCAGTTCTTCAAGGTCCCTACTGCCCCTCCCATCTTTTCAGAGCACTCTGAACTGACACCTGTCAACAGCCTTTGGGAAGTCAAAAGCAAACATGACTGCACATTGGTACGTCATAAACGACAAGTTATGGGTCCCTACATTTGAAGCCTTTGTATCAATATGATAAATGCTGCAAAGGATGTCCAAAGGACCTAACAATACATTCAGCTGCGTGCTGTCATGAGGAAGGCTCATACAGGCCCATTAGATCCATTAAGAGGTAGGGGTACAGTGACTCGTTAGCGTTAAGTATATGGGTTTGAGCGAGTCATAGGTAATAACATCAATAACGCACTAAAAGAACCACCACAGGCAGCGTGTCACATTTCATTTGGCATCACTCTGTTACCATGTCATGCTGACGTCAGCAATTCTCACTTCGGCACTATGAAAACAATGCAAGTACTGAAATTTAAATAACACAGTATTGTAATTTCTTGGACAGCCCGTATGTTTACTACAACTTGCAAACTGTACATTTTAAATTTGAAGAAAATGAAATCTAAATTACATCAAAAAAAACTAATGTAATGAATTCTTCATGGACTGCACAGGAAACCCATTGGTAATCAGCAGACTGTTTAAACTGCGTCATTACATTAAAGCGGCCCATCCACGTACGAGTCTGGCTCGGTGAGCTTGACTCGTGAGCCGGGCTCGGATATATTTCACCACACATGCATAGCAGACCCGGCTCAAGACACCCCACCCACGAACTAGTTTGGCTCAATGGAACCCGAGCCGAGCGTGAAAGCCTGAAGTTTTGTTTCAAGCCAGGTAAAATTGCTAAGGAAAACTATGACACGATAAAGTTGATACAGAAGAGGTAACATTGAGTGGAACTGTTTTCTTAATTCAAAAATGGAAAGACTCTATTAAAGAAAATGACCATTTAAGGCGCTGCTTTTCAACATCAGCAGTTCATTTGTCGCACAAGGACATAACTGAGAATCAGGGATTCTATGCAGATAACGCAGATAACTTGCAGCAACTATGGGAAAATGTGAAGTGAAATTATTAAGAAAAACTCTATATTGGACATTGGCCTTCAAGTGACAACAATGATCATTCTTACACCACATTCATGAAAGTCCATTCCATCCCAGATCCTTTGTGATTTATTTCTGTTTCAAAAACTGAAGTTTCAATACTCAAGGGAAGAAGATTTTATAACATTACTGAAACAAATTAAATATCTCAGACTACATTTCTGTAGCTGAAAAAAAGAGGACTTCCACAGGTGCTACCAACAATGGCAGAATCGCTGGACCTAATGTAACGAGTTACAATGGAACTGCTATGAAAGGGACAGCACATCGCTGCAAAATGCATCAAGTGCAAATAATAAAAATGAAGTTCTGAATTTCTTTCACTGTTGACCATGGCAAGCATGACTTGACTCATGACGTCCTCCTCCTTCCACCAAAATATGGGGTAAAGTTTTTCATTTTATGGCATATAAACTGGCTTTTCACCATAACCTTCAGTAGATAAATTTTAAAAGCCATAAATAACTGATGCCTACATATTAAGGAACATGAAATAAAAAATAATTTCCATTGAAGTAATTCCCAACTGTAATTATTTTTCATTCAAGATTTACTTTTTGGTTTGTATCCATAACAAACATACAAATGAACAATGATACAAAGTTTGCATGAGAGCTATTAATTCATTAGGAGTGAGAAAATTAAAGTACACTAGAAAAATTATAATTGGATAGAACATAGCAGATGATGATAATCTTTTCCTGAACACATTAAGTACTCAAGCTAATCTAAACACAAATTTTCCTCATAATTCTCACTAAACACCCCTTGTCCTTTGGTTTTCATGGCTTCAGTGCAATGAACAACTTTTTCTTTCAGATGTAAGTCGAGTATTAACCAAAATTTCAGCCAACATCACATTTGTCACTTACATTCACCCTGAAGATGGAAACTGCACTTAAGATTTCTGTCTTCTGGGTTGCTGCACCATGTAGATGGTAGATGTTAACCAACGTTTCAGAGGTCATTCATTGCCCTGATGACGGAGGCAGTATGACCTCTGAAACGTTGGTTAACATCGACCAGACTACACAGCGCAACAGCCCAGAAGACAGAAATCTTCATACTCATCGCCCTGATGATGGAGGCAGTATGACCTCTGAAACGTTCGTAAACATCGACCATACTACACAGCGCAACAACCCAGAAGACAGAAATCTTCATACTCACCGCTGTGAAAACCTCAAATCTTACATAGAAAATTGCACCGTTTGCCAAAAACCGGTTAATACTCAATATTCAACGCAGCTTACACCCAAAAGCCAAAGTTGCACATAAAGCCACTGTTAGAAAAATAAAAGATTCACATGGTTTTACAAATTCCCAGGAATGGTATTGCAATACTAAAAAAAATTAAAAAGCAAACATGGCAGGTTCCTTGCTCTGACTGATACTGCTTTCATTGTGAGATTTATACTTTGAACCTTAGACTTGCTGCCAGATGTTTACAATCTGATTTTCTTCTGTGTGTAATTCACATATATATAAACACACAGAGAGATGGAACCTCCATGCAAAATGCTTACTTTTTAAATTCATTCTGTTTATCACAGGCATAGATCTCTCTTTGTTATTCAGGGGAATTCTTTCATAACAAGAGCATTAAGGCTTGGCAATACAAGGAATAACTGCAGCTATTTTACAATTATTTAAAATATGTTTTCTGTATACTTGAAATGGGTCCCGCGTCGTAGCCGCGCAGTCTGAGGCATCATGCTTCGGACCGGTGATACGGAATGCGCGCTGGTTCAAGTCGGCTTTGGCTCTCAGAGGGCTGTTACGCCACGGATAAATAAATACTTGAAATGGCTGCAACTTTTCAATCATTCTGCATAAACAGAGGAGATTATACTATTTCAATCAAACCCCTAATCAATTTATGCATTTCTTTAAAACTATTTAACTCCGTAAATGCCTTCAACACTATCTTCATATATTTCACAGGGTTTTAAGACACCATGTCATTTATCTTTTCCTTTCTTTGGTAACTCCTAAAAACTGCAAAGGTAAAAGGGTACCTTTATGATGGGCATTCCTTAAAATTACAATACCAAAATTAATATAATATAAAAGCTGCAAATGACAAGAACATAAAAACATCCAATGCACACTGCTTCTGTAAAATTGCACTGTTCCCCCTTGCACCAAATATTATGCTGGCACAAAATAATTAAACCACATATTTTAATGTCACTTTCAAGTCACAAGATCCAGTCATCTTATTTAAGTTAATTAAAAATGAACACAATAACTAATGCAATAGGATTATTCATGCCAATGTAATAATTACTACATAATTATTACATTTGCCAACATGGTGATGCAGTATATTTCTTATTATATTTAACACAATAACATCTATCAATTTACAACGACAATGACAATTAAGCCACTTCAAGAGTTGTGTCTGGGAGATGTCTCTGCCATGCATTTGATCCATACACGCTGCCTGTGTTCCGCAGAAAACACAACAGCGAGCAAAGGCTCCGACTGTCTGATGCGTCTCATGAATCTCTCTCTATCTCTTGCCATCTGTTCCCACGGACCACACCTAGCTGCACGGTATGCATAATTCCACTTTACCATTGGATGAACTGTCTCCAGTGAAGTATCACAGGCGAACTGGACCTGAAATCCACAACCATATTCTTTGTCAAATTAACAAGGAGTTCTGGGAAGACTTTTCACATACTTTCCTTCATATGCCTCCTTCCATACACATGAATGAACAATATAAATTACTAATTAGAAGAACAGCTCCCGATACTAAATATTTCCAGTATATAAACGCTGACAAAACATAACCTCAAAGTTTCACTGTCACTGTTGCCATGTCTGCAATTTTAAGAAGGACCAAAGACAAAAATTACTTAGGAGAGGAAGGAGAATGAGCTATAAAGAAGTAAAAGTTAAGTTGCCTTGTGCCAAAGCAGACCCAGATTACAATGTTTCAAAGTTTGGGGCCACGTGGAAGGTCAGGATCCTTTGTAATTGTACAATTACAAAGGAACTTTTCTCACTTCTAATTTGGTCAATTTTAACACATTTTAGTTAAAAGACAACTCACACATTAAGTAGCTCTCTGCTGACAAAAACATCAAATGTGGTCAACCTAACTAACTAACCAGATGGCTTACCAAACCCGAAGGTTCATCACTGAATTAACCAAAGCCCTCCACCGGACCCTGTCCTGGGCCAACAAAATCCAGTCTCCTTCAACTCCTCTCTCCCACAGATCCCGCCTGACATTATCCTCTCATCTACGTATAGGCCTCCCCAGCGGTCTCTTCCCCTCAGGCTTCCCAACCAATACCCGAGGCACACATTTTGTCCCATCCATGCGCGCTACATGCCCCGCCCATCTCATTCTTCTCGACTTAATCACCCTGACAAAATTGGGGGAGGAGTACAGATTTTTAAGCTTGTCATTATGCAGTTTTCTCCGTGCCCCATCGTCTTCTCTCCTTGGCCCAAATATCCTCCTCAACCTACTTTCACCTAATGCTGAGGGAAGCCTCTTTTCACCAACATTAGCTTTGAAAAAGATGCCTCTGCTAAACAGATAATAATGGTCAGGTATAACCTGTAAGTAATGCACACGTTTGAGGAAACATCCACTAAAAAGTTTTACGCTCAGTATCTATACATTGACACTGGACGTCTTCAAATCAATGATGCTTTTATTTATCGATGAGCCCCATGAACTGCAGTAACTCACCTTTCATTGACAGTTCTATGTCATGGTGACATGTTTTAAGGTTTCCAATTTCCTTTACTTCTTTGATATTTCCTTATTGCTACTATGGCCACAATGCAAGCAGACACTAATTTCAAACATTAACTTCACTTTCGCAACTAGACTACAGGTAAATTTCACCTTACACTAAAGACAGTAGCACATGACACACAAAAACCACAAACTGTAAGTGTATGCATATTTGCAGATTCTTTTTGTACCATCGGGTCGGAGCCGACCCCTGGTGACATTATGAACAAGTTCCCTCTGATAGGGACCTGTTAAAATGTTTCCTCGGCACATGATCCAGAAGTGGTTTGCCGTTGCCTTCTTCTGTGTGCTTAGTGTGAAATAATGGTGAAAATGGAGTAATTTTTGGGATGGAACAGAGAAACTGGGGAAACCCCGGAGGAAAACTCTGTGATATCTGGACCACAGCCTTGCCCAACACAAGTTATAAATCCGGGCACCGCCGGGAATCGAACCCAGAACCCCAGGATTACAAGCCCAGCATTGTGACTGCTAGACTACCGTGGCGGGCAGATCTGTTGTATAGTTAAATTCAGCGGGGATAATTAACTGTGAGGCCATAAAAATTTACTTATAAATGATGGGGTATTTTATTATAAGGAATTCATCTGGGAATTTCAATATGTAACCTCAGAACTAAAAATGGGAAATATATACATATATATATATATATAGCAAAAGACAAATTATATCTTAAATATTCTTAACTGAAAATATTAATTATGTTTTTTCACCATTCAAAAACATATTCATTGATGTGCAGTTTACTTAATGACAATGCACCAAATGTAGCATAAAAGAAGACAAAGAGCAAAATGAAGCACTATGAACTAGAAATGAACAGCCTAGCATTTCTGGAAACACTAAGAATCACAACATATGACAATTTTAATTCATGTCAGCTGTTTTCTGACAAAAAACACTCATTTTATAAAACATCAATGAGCTAATTCATGAAAATAAAGCTATTAAACCAGTTTAAATGTCGTATTTTGCTTCTGAGTAACATACAAAAGAATTATTATGAATGGTTAATCTGAAAAGATTCAAGACTATGAAGAAATTTATGAAAAATCCCTTTCATGATAGCCTGTTCCTGGTTTGATGGGTCGGCCAACATAAACTCAAAAATTCTGGTGGCATCACTGCTATGGACAATGAATAATGACAAAGTGCGGGAAACATGAAAGTCGTAGTTCTGTACAAATGTAAATAAGCACTGCAGCCGAATGACGCATGCATACAAATAGTATTACATACACACCTTAACAGGATTCCTCTCATAGTTTGAGTATTCAGAATAATCTCTCTGCCACCTTGCATTGACTTCTTCTAATCCAGTTTCATTCTGAAACAAATGGTTAGAATACACGTAAATTCTTAAACCAGCGACATCGTTAAAATGATGAAAATACTAGCCCTGCCTTGGAAAGCCTTCTCTGTGACGATGTGACACTGGCAAAAGATTCTGAGGTTCATCACATGCTTTCTGGGAAAAGGCAAAGTTTTAAGATGATGGAGGCAGCAAGGACCTCTCAAACATCGGTAAACTTCCACCAACCAGAAAACAGCCATCTTCAGACTCACCACTGTGAAAACCTGAAATCCCATTCCAAAGGTGTTCTTCAAATAACAATACATAGATCGTTACTGCACTAATGCGCTCCTGGGCCGTTGTTGCGCCATTATCCAAGGTCATTGTTGCATCTTAGGCCCTTAATGCATTAATTAAAGCCCGAATTACTGTTGTTTTCCAACAATGACCTTACATCACGGAGCAACATAATCAGTCAGCTTCATCTGTGATCCACGGTCCCACTGTTAATCAATAACAGTAATTTTGGTTCTGAGGCTTGGTATAATTTTTTGTAATACATTTTTTTATGGTAAAAGGTTATTAGCCTCACGTTCAACCCCCTAGCTGGATGACCACCCTTTCTTGGCTGTCTGTGACTGCTTATTTAATATATTCGCAGCTAACCTACATAACTGGAGGCTGTTCCTCCATCCACAACCTGAGGATGTGCCATGCTGTGATGACAAGGACACTAAACCATCTAGTTAGTTGGTTAGTTAGTTGTTTTGATCCAATTACTGCACAGAAATGGAAGTTGTTGGATCCCATTGTTGCCTAACACTCTGTTCCAGCAATGGAGTTATTCACGCAGACACAAATATAACCAGCCCATAAGGTGCTCTTTACTCACTCTAGGGCATGAAGAACACCTAGAAAATTAAGTCCCATGATGAGATTTGGGGTTTTCAAAACAGTGAAGATGTTGATGCGGGTCTTCTGGGTCATATCATGTGAACTTGTAGGTAGGTGGAGCATGTTCCTCCAAAAAGTCAGTACTCCTCTACAAAGCCCACACAATGTCACAACCCAGAAGACCAGCATTACAACAAATCATGCTCCACCTGTCACACACTGCCTGCTGGTATCACTCTCTCATACCAGTCCAAAGCCAAGCTAAGTACAAGTTATGCTGTTAATGCAAGTCACTTAAATAAGTTCATAGTAAAATATGGGCTAAATGAACTATAAAGTTTCAATTTCAAATAATTCAGTATGCTATTACAAATAAGCTGCACCCTATTTTTAAGGGATGCAGATATGGAAAAGGAAATCACCTAGCATTCATGCTAAAACAATATTTGTTTCGTTTATTTAACCCTTTAATGCATAGTGTAATTATATGTATCACCTGGCTTAATAAACTGTAATTATTTCCTTAAACACCATTAATCAGTTAGTCTTCTAACGGTGAAGAGTTTTCTTTGTGTTACAAAATGAATTATTAAATATTTAGATGGCATGTAAGAATGTTCACTTCATAAATTCATTAACCAACAAATGCGAAATACAATGATGAATAATATAAAAATACAATTACTTTTAACAACTTTAAATAAAACCCAAACTCAGAGTTCAGCTAGAATGTTCTCTTAGGTCTAAAAACTATATACAAATAGAGTGACAAAGTACATGGTCACTGTATTTGTAACACTGTTCCAGATTTCAAAATCCTTATTTCTTACCTCAATGTCATCGCATTCGTCGACAAAATCATCATCATCATCACTGAAGTGGTTATCAGAGTCCATACCAGATTCAAAAATCACAAAACTGTCATCACTATCAGTTGAACAATCTGACATGCATCTTCTTCTCACAGAATTTTCTTCTGAACTCTGGTGACTTTCAGGGTTAGAAGGTGATGTGTTTAAATTTCCAGCTGCATGAACCATCACTGATATGCTACCACCTTCAACATCATGCCCTGCATCTATTTCTGCAGTGGTCAAACTGCTACACTTTATTGCAATACAAGACTCAGCAAATTTACCTTCTCTACTTTTCACACACTCTAAATTTTCATCTTCAGTACTATCATTAGCCACTTGAGAGCAATCCATGTACATTTTCTTGTGGCATTTCCATGCAATGGACTCACTGGAAACAGTTTTTGGTGACTCTTGTTTCATCTTAGGAACATTTCTTTTTACTCTTCCAAAATTTGATTCAGATACGTTTATATCTCTACTATTTCTTCCAGTCTTTCCCATTTGTTCCAAATTCACTACTTTATTAACTTTAGAACATCGTGACTTCTTCCTACAACTAAAGGCGCATTTATGTTCATTTCTATAATCCTTTATGGATGAATCACAGCAGTATCTCCTGTCTACAGAGCAACCAAAGTGTCTTGAATTATTTCTCAACATGTCTCCAAATTGTGTAGAGTTTCTTCTCTTTTTCATAGTAGGTACTCTTGTTTTGACGTGATTATTTTGTTGAGCCATGGCAAAAGTTTTGGCAACTTCAGCATATGACTGCTTTGAAACATTAGATGCATGGCAAAGTTTATTACCACTCTGCAAGCAATCTATCACAGAAACACCAGGCCTTACAGATAGAGGAATGGAAATACATGAAACAGTATGAGGATGTGGTTGTGTAGCACTTGCTTTTTCCTGTAGCAGGTTAGCGGTATTTTCTATTATGGTATGTGAACCATCAAGAGTTGAAACATTTTCC